AGGTCACCGCTTCCTGTAGCTTCTTTGTTTATTTCTGGGGTTTGGCCTGCTTTGCATCTGGAGAAAACTTGACATTTTCAAAATTGCTTTCTTTGCCTTCTAGTTCTGCCTTAGGATGTCTCCCGCCTGCTTTTGATTTTGATTGGTTGTGAGATAACTAAGTCAGCATGTGGGATCATAAACCACACTTAGATGGAAGGTTCCCCATCTTTTCCTTAGGACAGAGCTAGTGAGGATGGTGTGGTAGTCGCCTAATGTCATTGGTAATGACCCTGGACTCCACCCGGTGTTAAGGCCACATCTGGAGCTTTATTAGGTCCTTGCCAGTACTTACCATGTAATAGTTGCTAATTTCAGAAACTTTTTTTTTTTATTTTATGCCTGCATGTATGTGAGTGCACCCATGTCATGTTGTGCAATGCTGCCGTGGATCTCAGAAGAGGGCTTTGGATTATCCTGGAACTGGAGTTAAGGACGATTCATAGCTGCCATGTGGGTGCTGGGAAACCACTGAGCCATCTTTCCAGCCCCCAGGAACTTTTTTTTCGATGTATTTTGATGCTAGAGAGATGGTTCAACCATTAATGTACTGGCTGCTGTCACAGAGGATTGGGTTTGGTTCCCAGCACCCACATGGCTAACAGTCGTCTGTAATTCCAGTTCCAGGGGATCCAACGCCCTCATCTGTCCTCCACAGGCATTGCATGACACAGGTACACTTACATACGTGCAGGCAAAACACTCATACACATACAAATAAATAATCAAAAAACTTTAAAAATTACATTTTTATTTTTAACAATGAATGCATGATCTGAAAATGTTATTTTTCATACCAGCTACCCGCAGCATTTCCCTTATGAAAATTTAAAAATGAATCTGTCCTGCCCTTCCTGCTGCAGACCTCTAAATAAGCACAGCATCCGAGTTAAACAGATGTTTAATTATTACCAGAAAGTAGGAGGGAGGGCAGGGGTTTCCTCTGGACCTTTGGAAGTAGAGGTCATTGTCTTTTCTGCTACAGGTGGGGTGAGGTGAGAGGGGAACAGATAGGAAGCTATTGGCCCCGGGCCATGCATCTGGATACCTGGACCTCACCAAATGGCCTGGCCTCCTTTAAACAGCCAGAGGACACAGGGCCCCTGTGCCCCCTCCTGCGGAGAGAAACGGGAAGTCTGTGCCTTGTGGGAGGTGCTTGCTAGGAGGGATCCAGTAGGGGACACACGGGCCTCAGCACAAGCAGAGGCCAAAGTCTGGAAACAGGGAGGTAGGGTATTTTTTAAAATCTCTAATGATTGTGTGGTTTTGTGAGGTTAGTGTGTGGCACTAGTGCACATAATGCAGCCTTACGCTTTTCTAGGTGTGTTTAAGCCTCTCAGATGAAGGGGTACAACGGCAGCACCAGGGTGAGCATGACTTAACCAGAGGCGTGTGGAGCTTTACTTTTCACCTCAGCGTTTCCTGTGGCGGTGAACCCACAGTCCACCTGTAGAGCATGTCAGCAAGTGTGCTGTGTACCAGAATTACACACCTTAGGGCTTTCCAACACGAAAAGGCAAAGGCAGGTGGATCCCTGTGAGTTCCAGGCCAGCTGGGGCTGCCTATCTTTAAATGAAATAAAAACAAAACAGTTCCTAGGAGTTCTTAATGTTTCTAGAATTAATGAGATATGGAGAGAATATATGGGTTTTTTAAAAATATTTTATTTATTATTTTTATTTTATGTGTATAAGTGTATTGGCTGCATGTATGTGAGTGCACCCGTGTTGTGCAATGCTGCAGAGGTCAGAAGAGGGCTTCGATTCCCCTGGAACTGGAGTTAAGGATCGTTCATAGCCACCATGTGGGTGCTTGGAATCAAACCTGGGTCCTCTGCAAGAGCAGTCAGTGCTCTTAACCGCTGAGCCATCTCTCCAGCCCCCCCCCCCCCCCCCCCCGTTTTTTTTTTAATACGGGTATTCTCCAGAATTGCTCATATATACATAGTCTACATAGCACCCAGTGTTCTTTTTTTTGGGGGGGGGGCTTTTTTGAGGCAGGGTCTTCCTATAGTCCCAGCTGGCCTGGAACTCCCTATGCAGACCAGGCTGGCTTTGAACTCACAGAAATCTGCCTGTTTCTGCCTCCCAAGTGCTGGGATTAAAGTGTGCTGCCACACCTGGCACGCAGTGTTCTTTTTTTTAAAGGTATTTATTTACTTGTGGGGGTGTGGCACATGCCATAGCATACATGTGGAAGTCAGAGGACAACGTCTATGAGTTGTTTCTCTCCTTCCATCCACCATTTGCCTCAGTGGTGGAACTCAGCTCTTCAGGGTTGGTAGCAAGTGTCTTTAGCCTCTGAGCCATCTTGCCGGTCCACACCCAGTGTTCTTAATCTCTAAAATTAAGGCTCAGGCTTACTGAATTCTGAGGTGAACAGACTTCAGGGATAGATATACAGGTTTGACCTGTGAAGTCACAGCACATCTCCATGTGCAACCCGTGACATTTTATTTTTTTTACCTGTTACTGAAGAGGCGCTCGTGTCTATAGTGTCAGCTAATGTGACAGTCACAGATAGGCACTCTATCACTCTGTTCAGCTGGATTACCCAGACATGCTCATGTTTCTCAACTGTTTATGTGATATGATACCTCATCGTCCTGCTTTAGGCCAGAGGTTCAAGGCCAGATCCTGTCTCACAATAAAAGGATGGGCCAGTGAGATGTCTCAGCAGGTAAAGATACCTTACTATTAAGCCTGATGACCTGAGTTTGTTTTTGTGGGGTTAATTTTTGGAGGGAAGGGGATGGGTTTTGGTTTTTTTGTTTGGTTTTTTTCTTCAGACAGGGCCTCCCTGTAGCCCCAACTGACCTAGAACTCCGTATATAGATCAGGCTGACTTCCATCTCACAGAGCTCCACCTGCCTCTGCCTCTGCCTCCTGAGTGCTAGGATTAAGGGTATGTGCCACCACACCAGCTTGATGACCTGAGCTTGATTCCCTAGGATGTACATGGTGGAAGGAGAGAACCAACTTCCACAAATTACTCTCTGACCTCCACACACGTGCTGTGACACACAGACACACACACACAACTGTTTTGTTTTGTTTTTTTAAGTGGGGGAGGGGCTGAAAAGATGACTCAGCTATTAAGAGCACTGGCTGCTCTTGCAGAGGACCCAGGTTCTATTCTCAGCACCCACATGGCAGCTAACAATCATCCATAATGCCAGTTCCAGGGAATCCTGCGCCCTCATCTGACCTCCGCGGGCATTGTATAACACAGGTGCACTTTCATACATGCAGGCAAAACATCCATATGCATAAAATAAAAATAATAATTTTTTTTTTTAAAGTGTGGCAGGAAAGGTTGCATGCAGGCATGGATAGCTGTGGTTTGGTGCCAAACAAAGGCATTGGAGGAAATCAGAGCCGCAGAAACCAAGATGCAGAGGAATCCAAAAGATACTCAGGAGCAGTGGTCTCATGACTAGGATACATGGCAGGGGTTACGGGAGAGAGATGAGGGACAGTTTGCCTGGCTGGTAAAGTCTTCATGGAATTGGGAAGGAAGGCGCCCAGAGTCAAAGAAGATTGAGAATGTTTAGGGCTTGGCATAGTGACACACACGTACCCAGTCATGGCCATCACCAGAGGCCGAGGCCAAAGGATCTTAAGTTCAGTGCCAGGCTAGGCTACATGGAGAGACCCTAACCAGAAAAAAGGAGGAACAGAAAGCTTGCTGCCATGGTTCATGCCCAAGCTACAGAGTCTCAGATCAGTTTGGAGGTGGGGCTTTGCCTGTGGGCGTGGCCACAGGAGCCCCTCAGTTACATCTAGGTGAGGAAAACTAAAGGGACTTTGGTGAGGGACCGAGAGTAGCTGATGGTTGCCTGGGGGTAGGAGAGGAGATTCAGGGCTTCCTTGGATGATGATGAAGTTCTGGTGGTATGTGATGCTGGTGCTGGGTATACCACATGTACACATGTACCAGTGTAAACGTGCCCAGTGCTTAAGTGGTTAGGTTTATGTTAGGTGTATTTTACCACAGTGTGAAATAAAAGCCAAAGCATGGGGAGACGAGAAGATGGAGAAAGTAGGGCTGTGGGACTGAGATTCCCCAGGTGGTAGGAAGTTGGGGTGACACTGCCTTTGGAGAGAGCAGGGGTGGATGCAGAGGAAGACTGTCTCCCGGAGATTGTGGGGTCAGTGTCTGAGTGCTGAGGTGATCACAGTCCTTAGCCCCAAGGACAAGGGCTCCCTGTTGCTCTGAGTCATCACTTCCGTCAACTCCGGCATAGCATCTGGTTGGTATACATCACATGGGAGTATATGTTTTAGTAGGCAAAAATGATTCTATACAAAGAAAATCAAGTGAGAACTTAATTTCCCCCCAAAAGTGATGAAGAATGAAAAGAAACTAGAAGTCTTTGGAGGAAAAAGGATTTTTGGCAAAGGTGCAAAAGAATTTATTGCAAAATCAAACATTTAGACCGGAAAAAAGGAAATCATAAACGGAGGAGGCTACAAGTGTATAGAATTAAGTATTTTCCCACCCACATAAATGACCCATGGGGAATATGTGATTTAGAAGTGCATTATTATATTTCTTGCTAAATAAGGTTCTTAGCTTCATAAAATGTTAAGGCTTGGTTATTTATTGTACACTAAGTGTAAAAGATTGAAACTATACATCTTAAGGGGCTTAACTTTCCAACTCAGATATCAAGTTCTAGAGATGATTTTATCTGTTTGACTAATACTTAACACCCAGAAACTGGAGAACATTGTGCCTGTGTGTATCCTCAAAAACTCACAAGTAAAATTTATTAATTAGTGGGTGTCTCTTTTAAAATGGACTTTCATATTGCATTTATGTGTTCATTTCTTCCCCCTAAAAGTTGAGGTGGGCTGCCCTTCTGGGCCATTGCCAGATGTAGATATTTCTGCAGGCAGTTGCCAGAGAACCCGCCAATGCCAGACCTTTGTCATGCCCCCTTCTTGTTGTCGTTCTAGTGACAGCTATATTGTGCGTGTCAAGGCTGTGGTTATGACCAGAGATGACTCCAGCGGGGGATGGTTCCCACAGGAAGGAGGCGGGATCAGTCGAGTTGGGGTGTGTAAGGTCATGCACCCCGAAGGCAATGGACGAAGCGGCTTTCTCATCCATGGTGAACGACAGAAAGACAAACTGGTAATGACAGACACACATCGTGGGGGTTCAAATAGCAATGGCTGATTTCTGTGTGTAAGTTCTAGCCCTCTTCCCTCAGCTGTTTTTAATGTAACCTCGCCTTTCCAGTGCTTGTTGACAAGGGTATTTGACCATTGTGTTTACATCTTTGATTAATTCAGGTATGTCTGTGTAATTCTAGCAAGGTATTTAAAACAAGAGCATGTTCTTTCATCATGAGTCACAGAATAGTGCCAAACTGTGAGGTCACAGTTTTTAAATGTGAGAATGGTAGATGAAGTGGGAGAGAGTATCGCCTGATATTGGCTCCTTCTAAATCAGTTTGTCTAAAAGATACCAGTGCAAGAGGTTGCAGAGATGGCTCAGAGTAAGAGCACTTGGTATGCAAACACGAGGACCTGAGTTTGCGTCCTGATACTTACAGAAAAAGCTGGGCATGGCCGTAACCCCCAGGGTTGTGGGGGACAGAAACAGGAGGCTTTTGTGCATACTTGTAAACAAATGTGTGGGAAAGTGATTGCTATCTGAGAAGTGGTGGGACTGATTGTTCATAGTGTATACAGGCTCATGGAGGAACTTGGATGGCCAGTTATGTACAGTTTTTGATAGGAAGCTAGACTGTCCAAGTCTTTATTATATTGGGGGTGGTACTAGAGCTCAAACCTAGGACCTCATGCATGTTAAATAGCATGTACTCTACCACTTAACTACAGCCCCAGTCCAAGGCAGGCAGTCTTCTTCCTCCCCACTCTCTTGCTATAGTTTGAACCCAGGGCCTTGCACATGCTAGGCAAACGCTGTCTGTATAGGACACCAAATATCTCCAGGCCTAAGACATCTTTAAATTGGTAGCCATAAACATGGAAGATTACTTTGCACTGTATTTGAGTGTGGAGTGTATCTTACAGACACCTACAGTGATTATTAGAAATGCATAGGACAATGTAGGATCTCCCAGAGAAAAAGCATATGGCATGGAACTCTGTCCCTGTTAGGTCTGAGACTGTAAAGCAGCGTCTGCTGTGTTTTATGTGTTAAGGTGTGTAATTGATCTTTTGCAACCACTTCTTATGGTTGAAGAAAGTTAGATAAAAGAGAATAATTTTTAAATATCACAAATGGTTTAACGGAAATGCTGCTTCACCCTTGATTCAGTTCTAAAAATTCTCCCAATGAAGGCAGTGGGCCACACTACCAAGAAGATGAAGGAACTGCCTCTGCTCTGGCATTTACCCTCAGCATTAGCCTTTGGCTAGGTGATGCAAACAGCAGGATTTCTTGTTCTCAGCAACCCACTGGGAGCCTGGACCCATATTTGATATACCATCTCACTCATCCCCAAACCACACCAGAGTCATAAGCACAGCCACCTAGTTTTTCCTGGCTGTGCATATTTTTATCTTCACATGCCTTTTAGCAGAGTTTGTCAGCAGCTTTTCATCTTACTTGCTTTTCACCACCATTTTCTAAAACTTTCCCATGTTGCTCATACCATTGTGATGCTCTGCCGTTTATTCGACAGCCTCCTTAGCATCATATTTCATTTCTTTTTTTCTTTTCTTTTTCTTTTTGGTCTTTTTGAGACAGAGTCTCCCTGTAGCCCCTGCTGGCCTGGAACTCACTATGTAGACCAGACTGGTTGTAAGTATCTAGGGGTGACTAACAATGCTATCTTACAATACTTAATAATGAGCTCAAATGGTTTTCTGTTTCTTAAAAAATTTTAAGGCTGGCCATGGTGGCGCACGCCTTTAATCCCGGCACTCAGGAGGCAAAGGCAGGCAGATCTCTGTGAGTTCAAGTCCAGCCTGGTCTACATAGTGAGTTCCAGGACAGCTGGTGCTACAGGGAGACCCTGTCTCAAAAAGACCAAAAAAAAAAAAAAAGAAAGAAAAAATAATTTTAATGGAGCTGGAGAGATGGCTCAGCAGTTAAGAACATTGACTGCTGTTGCAATGGACCTGGGTTCAGTTCCCAGCACTCACATGGTAGCTCACAATTGTAACTCCAGTTCCAGGGAATCTGACGCCCTCTTCTGGCCTCCACAGGCACTGCATGCCCATGATACACATACATCCACGCAGGCAAACACTCATACATAAAACAAAAATAAATAAGTCTATTTAAAATTTTTAAAGCTAACAGTTTGCCAGCAGCCTGGCTCAGTGGGTAAGGGGACTTGCTACCAAGTTTGGCCTGAGTTCAGTCCCTAGGACCCATATAGTAAAAGAAAAAAGATTCTTCTCAAAGGTTGTCCCCTGACCTCTACATGTGCTCCATGGCACACAGAAAATAAATAAATGTGGGGGCTGGAGAGATGGCTCAGTGGTTAAGAACACTGGTTGTTCTTGCAGAAGACCTGGGTTCAAATCCCAGCACCCACATGGCAGCTAACAACTGTCCGTAATTCCAGTCCCGGGGAATCCGACAGCCTCTTCTGACCTCTGCAGACATTGCACGACATGGGTGCACTTACCTACATGCAGGCAATACACACATACACATAAAATAAAAATAATAAATAAATTTTTTTTTTAAAAAGAAAGAAAATAAGTAAATGTATTCTTTTTTACAACAGAATTATCTGTCCATGTCCTAGGTGTGTTTATCTGTTGGGACTGTCTCTTTTCATATGTGTGCATTCATAATAAAAATAATCAGTCTTCACTTACCTTGTTTTTACCTTATTTTGTTAATGTATTTTAATAATTTGTTGCTTGCCTTTTTTACGTTAATTGATATTCTGCAAAATTCCAGTAGAAGTGCTCTTTCATTCTCCTTTTTAGTCATTCTGTTAGCAGATTGTATTATGTTCATGGTTCTGTATATTTACAGCCATTTTTCCTGGTATTCCTGTGGTTCGTCATCCTAAATAGTCCCACTTTGTTTTTGGCTTTTTGAGACAGGGTTTCATGTAGCCCAAACTAGTCTTGAACTAACTGTTACCAAGAAAGACCTTGAACTCCTGATCCCCAGCTCCTCCCAAATGCTGGGATTACAGGCATGTGTCACCACACCCACTTTTAAAATAGCTGTTGAGACCGTCTAAAACAGCCCTGTACTTTCAAAACTACGCTTATGAACTTGTGGCCTACCAGAGACTTATACGCAGTAATTACCAATGTGTGCTGCTCTGTTCAAGGACCTTGACATAAATAACCTCAGCTAAATTCCTGTGACATTCTTAAGGAAGAAGATACTCTCTCTATATTATAATATAGCTCAGTGCTCCAAGAAGTGGGTGTAGGCCGTGGGGTAGCAGAGCCAGCACTAGAGCCCACTTTTGTCTGTCACCCTCCCATGGCATTGTGGACTAACTTGTATTGTCTTTTGCTGCAGTCCTTCAGGTATTCTTCTAACCCTCTCAAGTCTCCCCATCTAGCCCTCTCTGTCCCTGTATATGCTGTGACTCTGTGTTCACCCAGTAGTACTTAAATCACACGCCCACACACCTACATCTTCCTAACCCTCACTTGGCCTGTTTCACTGTGGGGAATTCTGGGTTCCTGTCCCCACCACCACCACACCCCTTTGCACATAAAGGGGGTCTTTTCAACCTCCCAAGCCTCTCTGAGGCAGTGCTTCAAAGCCCACAGAGCAGATGTGCTAAATGGGAGCTCTGGAAGGGGTGAGCAGTTGAAGGAAGCCTCTTCAAAGGTGAGGAGTGCGGGGCTCTGTTAGGCTACACTCTGGATGGGTGTATTGGTTCCCTGTATTTCAGCGAGGTCAGCGGATTCTGTCAGGTGGGGAGTTGTTCCAAGGTAGTGCAGTTCTAGAATCCAATACATTGTGTTTTTTAAATATTTTATTATTTTTATTTTATGTGTACGAATGTATTGCCTGCATGCATGTGAATGTACCCATGTCACGCAACGCAGCAGAGGTCAGAAGAGGGCTTCGGATTCCCCTGGAACTGGAGTCAAGGATGGTTCGTAGCCGCCATGTGGGTGTTGAGAATCGAACCTGGGTCCTCTGCAAGAGCAGTCAGTGCTCTTAACCGCTGAGCCATCTCTCCAGCCCCCATTATGTTGTGTTTTTAAATGTATTTTAGTTACATATTAGAGCCTGTTGTTTAACTGTCATCGTTACTGTGGGAAAACCCAGATGCTCCCTTACATGTAGTTATTCAGATAATTTTTGGTAATTGGAAAATCAAGTTTTCCTGGAAAATTATATGTAAATTAAAACTTTCTAGGTTCAATATTTTAAAATCCCTTTGTAGCCATGGCTGACCTGAAACTCAACTAATGTAGCCCAGGCTGAACTCAAACTCAGGGTGATCCTCCTCCCTCTACCTCACAAACACTGTGATTACAGTCGTGTGCCACCAAACTCTGCCCTCTTTCAAATAATTGTAGATATTCTTCCTAGAGTGTACATTAAAATCAGCTAGTAGCATAACTTTTTTGTTATTGTTTGAGACAGGGTCTTACCATATAACTCTGGCTGGCCTGGAACTTGTTATGTAGACAAGCTGGCCTAGAACTCACAGAAATCTGCCTGCCACTGCTTGGCTCTGGCTTGAGTCTGGGATTAAAGGCATGCACCACCAGACCTGGCATGTGTATTTATTTTCATTTGCATATCAAATAGTCATTCAGGTTTTTGCCTGTTTAGTCTTACTGTCTTGTAAGATATCTTTGTTTTTATTTATTTTTATTTCCGCCTTTTTAAACAAAGATTTGAGTTAGATTCCCCACCCTTTTTTTTTTCTTTGAGAAAAGACCTCACTCACTGCATAATCCATACTAGCCTTGAGCATGCAGCCTTCCTGTGTTAGCCTCCCAAGTGCTGAGATTACAGGCATGTACTACCATGCCTGCCCCACACCCCCCAATATAGTTCTTTTTAAAAAAAAGTTTTCAATACATTTGTGTGTGTGTGTGTGTGTGTGTGTGTGTGTGTGTGTGTGTGTGAATGATACACGTTTGGAGGTCAGAGGACAACCTATCAGCTTTCCTGCCATGTGGATTGAACTCAGGTCACCACACTTGTTGGCAAGCACGTTTACCGTGAACCATCTCCTTGGTCCCCAATACTTTTCTTGATATCATCAATAATCTTATTAGAACAGTGTTTAAGTGTTAGCAAACTGTTGACTTGAAAGTTCAAATCTCTTATATATCTCCACCTGTTTTGAAGTGGCTAGCTAACTTTTCAGAAAATGTCTGCCAAATAGCAAAGTCTGATTAACCATTGGTCTATGGTTGCTTTTTTAATAAAAATGATGACTCAAGGAAAAAACAGTTACAGACAGGCATGGTGGCACATGCCTCTAATCCCAGTACTTAGGACGTAGAGGAAGAAGGATCAGGAATGCAGCTGTATAGCAAGTTAGAGGCCAGCCTGGGCTACATAAGATCCTGTGATTAGAAAAAAAGAAAAGCAAGAGGAGGCGAGAGGGAGTGAAAGAACTTGGTTCAGCTCAGCAGAAACCATCACATCCATGCTTCTCCTGGAGAAAATCTTCCTCCTGCATTCAGAAGAGAAAAGGCTCAGAAACACCACCCCCAGGTGTGCATTTGTGCAAAGCAAGATTTTCTTCATTTATTTCTAGCAGAGCAACACAGCACGCAGGCTGAATGCAGACGCCAGTGTGAGTCCATTGTGTGTACTTCCCATTGTGTTTACTCACAGGTCAAGGTTAAGGGC